CATTTTTTGCAGTGTTGAGCTTTGCTCAGGAAAAGGCTGTCAGCATCCAAGTGGAATGTGCAGTACATGCACTTGGAATTTGTTGGTGTGGCCCTGGAGGAGCCACTTTGGTCCTGGAGGCCTGAGCCGTGGGATGCTGGAAGGAAGAGGCTCAGCAGGACCTGATCACAACGTGCTTTTCTCCTCATTCTTGAGGGAGCAGGACAGGCTCGCTGATTTGCTTGGAGATCCATCTTTGGGATGGATTCTGGCAGGCTGGGTTTGACTTTTGGGGTGTGTGGGTGCCCTGCAGAGGACAGTTTGTTCAGCCATGCTACCAGCAGCGTGCTGGCTGCAGTCCCTCACTGACACACCAAGGTAACCCACTGCTGTTGTGGTTTCATGTGCAGCACCTCGTGTGCACCTGCTGCACTGTGCCTGCCTGGAGAGCTCCTGAGATCTGCTTCCTGAGCTGCTCCTGGGGAGAGCTGGCCAGCATCCTCCTAACAGGGCAGCTCTTCAAACAGCTGTACCCAGTGCTTTGTGGCTTTATTACTGGGGTGTAGAAAATTCTTCTTTGTGTGTTCCTATGTATGTGGTGCTTTCTTAATGAGCTAGTCATTTTTTTCAGTGAAAAAGTTGAGATAATTCCAGCACAAGATTTAAGAGACTGGGAATGTGCTCTTGTCTAGCTCAGAGAGGTTGGAAAGTAACTTTCTTTAGAATAATGTTGATAAATACTCAATTTCAGACAGGGGAAACAAGATAATATTTTCAAAAGTCATGTTAGTAATGTAGGAAGTCACTTTGAATCTTAAGATCTCTTCTTAAAAGTTAGGAAAATGGAGGTCAGATAGAGCTTTTGATGAAAATATGTGGAAATACATTTTTTGGAAGGTAGCCTGTGCTTTCTTTACACTGTGTGTGCAAGTAATTAGTTAACAATAATCAATTTCACATGGCTTTAAGTTTAGCATAAGTATTTGTTTGACTAGGAGAGCACTTCAGTTAATTCCTAAATAAAATGTGCTTTGAGAAATCTCCTTTTTTTATGTTATTTCTGCCTACTTGCCTACTTGCTCACTGTGGAAGGATCAGCTCCTGGAAGATCTGAACTAAACAGAATCTGGTCTATTTGCAGAATGATTATCAGGTGAAGCCAGTACTTCTCTTGACAGGCCAGGAGAAGTGATAAGCCCACCATGTTTGGGATCTGGAAGTACAAGCAAAGAACCTTTGATTTTTCTTCTTCTTCTTTTTTTTTCTTTTTTTTTTTTTTTTTTTTTTTTTTTTTTTTTTTTTTTTTTTTTTTTTTGAACACTAAGTGTTCGATGAAGACAATGAACACAAACTCTGAATTAAATCAGCACTTGATGCTGTACACTATTCAGTATATCACTTCATTAGAAAAAACTCCAAGCAAAGGAACTTGACACCCTTTAAAAATACACCTCATTTTTCTTTGAAAACCAGAAAGTTCTTTTACTTGTTTTCCTGTTCCAGTGCATGTTTGCCCTGATGGTCAGACTTTTCTGCCTGACAGAATGGCCACACAGACTGGTTTGTTGGGCTGTGTCCAGACAGGCACTGCATTGCTTGAAAATTCTTGGAGCTATTGTCTGTTAATGTTCCCTCATTTCTACTGCTTTGTTCATGATAGCCTGCAGAGTAATAAATGCAGGTTCTAGCATGAAAATTGTCACTCTTAAGTTGTTTCATCCTGCAGATAGCAGACCTGTCTTCCTGCACTTCACTGATTTAATTCCACCCAGTCGTTCCCGGACTGGTTTTGTGAACTGCAGCTCTCTGTTCCCAACCATTTGGTCTAATGGGCTGTGATGAGGGGTTGGTACTTGGAAAACCATTTTGTCAGAGCTGATGACAGTGGCTGATCAATGATTCATAAACAATTTCTTCAGAGTAGTATTTAGTCTCCTCCCCACGTGGAGCATGGTAGAACAAAGGGTTCCATCTCTTTTCTCACCTTCAGGCTGCTCGTGCAGGGTCCACTTTGCCCTGGTGACCATTGGTGGCACTCAGTGTGGTCTGGCTGTCAGTCTACAGACTGCAAAAGCCCTTCTTCAAGTATCCCTACTCTCCATTTCAAGACAGCATCTTGAAAGCCTCTGTTCTGTCACCTTGTAGCTCTGGTAAATATCCCCATGACCCCTCCCAAATCCCAATTAACTGATTAAGTAAAGTGAAGGGCAGATCTGCAGTACTGCTGAACCATTTCCATCCTTCTCCCTCTCTTTTGGTACATGTTAACAGAGCATCAGAAGCTCTGTTTATTCATTCTCCCATTATTCAGTTTGTCTTGGTTGGTCATACTAAAAAATACTAAAAAATACAAGCAGCTCCTGAACACAGACTCTCAGTATCAATGATTTAAAGTTACTGCTTTCTGCCAGTTTTCTCAGTCTAAAAACGTGATAGGCTTAGTAAATTCATGCAAAAAAGTGAGGTGTTAATCTGTTCCTCAGAGGTGTATTAGGAGGTCATGAAAAAATCAGTTGTCTGATGCTAGTGCTGTAAAGGGGAAACTTTACAAAAAGCTGAGGCTGTTCAGAAGAACCTGAGAAGTGTACTTAGGTAAAATCAGACCTTCCTTAAATAAAGGCCATGCAGCAGGTGGAAGCAGCTTCTGAAGCACAGCTGCCATGGGTAGAGCAGGTACAGAGAAAAGGCAACAGATGGACCTGAAAATAATTGCAAATAACTACCTTTGCTTAGAGTTAAATTCTCAGTGAATCAAGCTGATTTAGCTGTGAGATGGGTGTGGGCAGATAAGTACTGGTAGCTGGCCCAAGGTCACTGAACACTTTCTTAAAAGAGACTGTGTAGAGCAGTTATTTTCAGGCTTTTCCAATTTAGAAACCCCTTCAGAGCAAATTTGGCTCAGATCTGCCACTCCTTCATAGTTACTGGGAGCTGACTGGTCTAATGGGCTGAAGAATTGAGGTGCAGATGAGAGGTGAGAAAGTCCTGTGCATCTCATGCAAATGACAGAATAAGGAATGGGCTGTATTTCTTCTTGCTTTTAGCTTTGGAGACTCGAGGAGCAGCAAGCAGGGTCAGTAAGGCCGAGGTAAGCTGTTCTAAACCTTTCAGGATATGGTTCTGTGTCAAAATCTATTGCATTTGGGGAACAGCTTCAGTTGTCACCAGTGAGTAGGATGTGCTTCCAGAAGTAATGGTAATATAAGTGCTAATATTTGCTTTATGAAAGCAAAAGCTCATATGTATCCTTCCAAGGAATTTTACTCTGGGTGTTCTGTGCAGAGAATCAAAACCAATTGTAAACATGTAAGCAAAAACTATGTAAACACAACATGCACAATAGATGTGTTTCCTGCTTAAAAAAACATGAAGCAAACAAGTTAGGTTATCTTAAATTTAGGGATGATGTTTGTTTTTCATTTATAGGCAGTACTAATGGAGTACTGAATGTTGCCACAAATATAAGTTTTATTTGGGGAAAACTCATTTGTTAAAGACAACTGAATTGTATTTATTATTAGTTTTCAATGTCTCAAGGATCCATATCTTACAGGAGACCTATTCAGTATTTTGTTTTCACCCTATCATAGCAGATCTGTTGGTAGAGATTCATTAAGGGATATGATTATAAAGCATCTGCTTCTTCATCTGGTAAAAACTGAGAATTAACTTTCTTTTCAAGCTCTTATACCTCTGTGATTCAGAGCAATCACCTGTCAGCAGGCTTTGATGTGGAAGGGCTGCTTCATACCATGAGTGAGAAGCAGTACCAGAAAGGCAGGGGGGAAAACATCCAGTGAGGATCACAGCATTTCCCAGAGCAGAGTTCTTCCTGTAGGAATAATGAACCTGTTACATCATGAGTGAATTGTACGTGCTCTTGCAGTGTCTTTTTACCAATGTTTGCATGAAACCTTGTTTCTAAGTGTTGCTCCATCCCTGGAGAGTTCCATCATGTGATGTGCAATCACGTCTTTTGAGGAAGACAATGCTGTTCTATCACAGCTAAAAAGAGCTGTACAGTGAAGCAGTCAAATGTTGCAGAAAGATGCTTGCTTTTAAGTGATAGCAGGATATGTTTGAAAAAACTTTCTGTACCAACAGAAAATGTTTTGTGGCAGAAATAATTGATTTTTTTCTGGTTTGATCAAGGTTCATTTCACTTTTTTAGCAATTTAATGAAGCGGCATAAGTGAGAGGCTGTGCTTGTGACAGGAATCTGTTCACAGCTGACAGCAAACCCTCCCTTAAAGGAGAGCCAGCCAGGAACCCAGAGCTGCCCTCTCATTGCCCACCTTCTTTCATTAGCCATGCCCAATTACTGCTGTGTAGCCAGGTGTGGGGACTTGGGCAAGTGACTCAGTTCCTGGTGGGCAGGAGCTGCAGTGCTCTCTTAGGTGGTGGTAGTTCATAACAAAATCACTTTATTTTTTGTCTTGGGGCTGAGTGAAACTGTTTTCTAGCTTTGTCTTCTGAGAGGGAATGAGTGTGGTTGTGGTGGTTATAGTTCTTCAGCTGTATCTGTTGGTGTTAAAGATCTGTGAAAGAAATACTGCTTGAAATGCAGGTCTGATTTCCATTCAGAAATCCCAGGGTTGTGTGAACCTATTCTACTCACAGGTGGCCGAGTGTTCTCGTGAATTATGGCTGGGTGAAAACCTAAGGCATTGTATTAATAACTGAGTGCTCTGGGTACTCTGCAAGTCAAAGGACGAGAGCCTGAAGAAAGTTCTAACGCTTCTGGAGTGGCCAAAGTGGTAATTTGCAAAGGGAGTGTTGAAATATTGTCATTAGTGGTGATGCGTGATGCAGAGGTGCTTATTTTTATAAATTATTGTGTGAGGGCTCAGCCTTCAGGTTTTGAGCACCAGTAGTTGTTAAATGTGTGACACCCAGCAGAGCCATTGTCCTCTTTTCAGGTTTAATTTTCAGATGCATCATTTAGTAAATACAGTAATACGAGTTTTTGTATTTCTCACACCTAAAAAGGGTGAACAAAATGTATGAATTCCTTTTTTTAGGAGAATTACTGAAGCTTGGATTGCTCTCTTGATACTATAAACCTGCAATAAGTGGCAATGTCAAGGGTTCCCACCCCACCTCCTCCTGGAGAGATGTCCAGTGGACCTGTGGCTGAAAGCTGGTGTTACACCCAGGTAATCTACATAAATTCCAATGGCTTCATTTTCTATTATTGTCATAATAATTGTTAAAAAAACCTAAACTAAAGTTATTGACATATTGAAAAAATATAGCTGACAATCTAAGTAGTTCTCATAGTTAATGCTTGATATGTAAGTTAAATTTTCTTAACATTTTCTGATCTTTTATTCAGGTTAAAGTAGTAAAATTTTCATACATGTGGACCATTAATAACTTCAGTTTTTGCCGTGAAGAAATGGGTGAAGTTTTAAAGAGTTCTACATTTTCGTCAGGGCCAAATGACAAAATGAAGTGGTAAGGTCTTTATTTGAGCAAGTGCTTGTGTTTTGGTTTTGGGTTATTTTGTTCACAAAAATTGTAAAGTTAAATTAAAATAAATATTAAAACTTGGGCACTTCTTGGAGGGTTACTGTAGGTATGGATTGATTCTAATTTCAAAATGTCAGCAATCACAAAGGAAACATTTATTTCAGTAGCATTTAGGATTGTGTCTTGTAAAAATATTTCTGAATTTATTCTGGGTACCATTAAAAAATTTCAATCTTTCCTTTTTTTTTCAGGTGCCTGAGAGTGAATCCAAAGGGATTAGATGATGAAAGCAAAGACTACTTGTCATTGTATTTGCTTTTAGTCAGTTGTCCAAAAAGTGAAGTCAGAGCAAAATTCAAATTTTCCTTGCTGAATGCTAAAAGAGAAGAAACAAAAGCAATGGGTAAGGGAATATTAATGTGGTTTTGTAAGAACATCATCAATGTAATTTTTATCAGTTGAGAGCAGAATTTAATATTGAGATAGACTTTTAAAATACCTTTTTTTAATTTCCTTTTAGAAACATAATTATAAAATCCTATTCATGTTTCACACGTTTCTGATCACTGAGCTATGTTAATTCTATCCTGAGCAGTATAAATTACAGCACATTGCCAACTGCTGTCACTCCAGGTCCTTGTCACTTAGTTTTTCCAGCAGATTATTCTTGTTTCCTGTTAGTAGAGGTGGATTTGCTTGTTTGTAGCTACATTGGAAGTGTTTGATTTCCATTGTTAAATAGGATAAGCAGACATGGCTGGAATTTTTTAGGCATCCTTTACAATATTTTGGTCTATTCCAGCTGATTTACACTGTAATCAGTTTAAAAATGTGTCACATGTACCCAAGGAATTAGAAGACTTTGAAATAACTGGTGATTTGATTTAATAGTTTTGTTGATATGAAAAATAAGTGGAAGGCTCTTAGTTTCAAACTTGGGAGCATGACCTTCATTGGAAATTCTTTTTGGAAAAGCTGGGATTCTTGTGGAAATGAATAATTTAATGCTTATCTCCACTGAATTTGTTCTGCTGCAAGTCCTGTATATGAAGAACACCTATCTTTCTTCCCTTCTTCTACTCCAGGACTTAAGAGATGTTTCAGGTCCTGTTTTGTTGCAAGTTCTGCATTTCTTATCAAAAGGCTGTAGTTCTGCAGTGTTTATACCCAAAGTTCATACTATTTCTCCTTAAGTAACTAGGTCCACTTGTAATCTTCTAATTAAATCCACAGAACTGAGTTCAAAGGTAAAAATTAAGTTATTGGACTCTTAGGAAGGAAGATAAATATATATGTTTTACTCTACTAATCTTTTTACACTGATGGTGATGGTTTCTTCAGTCCTGCAAACTTCCTCTTCTGAAGCTTGTGTGAGCAAAGCTACACTTGGGTACATTTGGAGAATCATTTGAACTTGACATAGTCCTGGAGTGGATTGGTTTTTGTAATAAAACGTGAAGCTGCATCAAAACCTAATTGGAGATAATCACAGAAGCACAGAATTGTTGAGTTTGCACAGGAGCTCTGGAGGCTCAGGGTCAGCCTGAGCAGTTTGCTTGGAACTTGTGGTGCTTTGAGATTTCCAAGGATGGAGACCCCACAACTTATTTGGGCAATCTATTTTAGTTTCTAGCCAGCTCCTGCTGGCCCTTTGTTTGCCTTAGGGGTTCTTGTTGATTTGTTGTCCCCCAGGACACCAATGTCCAGTGACCTGTTTGTTCCTGACCAGTCTGTAGCAAACATCCAGATCCTGACCCATCAGCTCTCTGCTGGTTCATCATCCACTGCAGTGCTAAAAATCCTGAGAGTGGGTGCGTCTGCAGCTTCTGCAATAGTAGCTGTGCTGTGTTTGGCACCTTAGGAGTTATAAATATCTTTTCACTTTAGGAAATTACCAACAGAAGTCTTATTTTTTGAACTCTCTAGCCATTTGCCATCTGCTTCTGTGGGTGCTGTGTATTTACTGAGACAGGAAAATGATGCCCCACTTCCAATGTCCCTTGTAAATTGATAATTTATGCATAGGCTGCTGCTTCAAGGGGTGAAGCTGTGTATGAAACAAATAGTGAACTAACATTTTAACTTTATTAGAAGAAAAATACATTTGCACTTTTGTGGTGCTCTATTTTGGTTCTTAATTTTGGGGGTTAACACTAGTTGTTGCTGCTAAGAGTAAAATCTAAGTGTGCAGATAAAGAATTGGGCTGAATCTAGAAAACTCGTGAACACTTTTGGGAATGTGGATTTCTGATTTTTTTTTCTTTTAATTCAATGTAACAAGGATAAAAGTTGGTAAAAGTGTGAAAACACGAATCCAGATGCTGAAAAAACTAGACAATATTTAAAAACATGTTTTTCCTCCTTGGTATGCAGGTTTTCAAATGTGAGCAGTGTTGTGTGCTTATGCTGTTGCACTCAAAGCCCACGCTGCACTTGAGGGGGTGCATTTCCCTCTGCTGCTGTGCTCTGCATGGGCTTGTTGATAGGGGGAGTGTGATGAGGTGACAGGGACAGAGACCTCACACCTCCTGCAGTGGCAGCTCCTGGCAGGCTCTTCAGTGTATTCTGAAAATGCAGTGAAAATCTCTAATCTCTACAGGATATTTTGATTGATATAATCATGGTGAAGAGCTGCTCTGAATATATTTTTTCCAGCTCTTAGGGGTGAGGGCAGTGTGTGACACGTGTGTGTTTTCTGTGGTACATGCTCCAGTGTGTTCCAGTGCTGCTGCCAAGGTCAATAGTGTAGGGAAGTCTGGCTTTGCTGCTGGCTTTATTTTGGAGGCTGTAGAAGGAAGGATATTTGAACAGATTCTGTCATGAAAAACTTTGCTTTTATTACAAACTTCTGACTTGGACGTCTAAAGTGCTCTCTGGAAGGCTGAAGCATCACTGTGTACAGCAAATGTGATGGTGATGTGTTTCTTGCCCAGCTTTTTTGGAATGAAAGAAAAGTTCTTTCTTAAAGAGCTCTTCATGACATCCCTCCCCACTTCCCCCTCTGCTCTTATTTCAGTATTCTTGCTGTCTTAATTTTGAACAAATTTTCTAAATTTAATTCAGAATGTGCTTTATTTACTTAGATTCTCAAAGCCATTTCCAAATAACCTCTTTCCCATATTTTACTTTAAGTATAGGGTGCTCTTTCCTGTGGTTTGATTTGGCCACTTTTCAGTGAACCAGCCACGTAAAATGTGTGATCTTAATGGATTTACAGGTGTTTGCCCCGAAATGACTGTTGGAATTATTTTTTGGCTGTGAGCTTTAGAAAAAAAAAAAAAAAGTTGTGCAGTCGCAACAAATCTGATGGATTAAAAAAAAATAAATCTTATAACTAGAGCCAAACGATAAATATAATTAATATCTTTTATGACCAAAAGATAGTTTAGTAGTTGAAAGCTTTCAATTTGCTATTTTAATGCTCTTACTGTATTTCAAAATAATTTCAACTTGTGAAACAAGATTTTCCATTTCAGGAAGAAGTCAAACCAGATTGTTATGACAACTGCAGAGTGTTGTCAGGATGGGTTTGTGGTGACAAATTCATTGTAATGGTGCTTCCCTCTGAACAATTCCTGTTTTGACACATTGGCATTCTTTAACACTCACTGAAAAACTCCTTGTGCTGGATGATGCCTGAGACATCTAATGAGAGGATATGGTTCAAATTACAAATTGTGCTCCACCAAGTTCTATCAAGTGTTTTATAAAACAGCACTATTGCAATATTAAAAAGGTTTTAATCAATTCTGTGTTTTCTAGAAATGTGATACATGATCCAAATGTGTTAAACTGATGAATTTTTTTATTAACACTTAGTCTTGATTTGGAATTAGGTGCTATTTGTTAATATTTTCCTTTAACTTGCTCTATTTGTGCACAATTTTTTATCAGAAAGCCAAAGAGCATATCGATTTGTGCAAGGCAAGGACTGGGGATTTAAGAAATTTATCCGAAGAGATTTTTTACTAGATGAAGCTAATGGTCTTCTACCAGATGACAAGCTTACATTATTTTGTGAGGTGGGTATTAATTTTTAAGTAATAAAGTTTTAAATTAAATGTTTCCTGCTCTAATAAATAGAGATTTATGTTGATTTAAACAGTAGCATACCCTAAAATGGTCTTCTAAAAACTATAAACTTGGTAAAATATACATTGCTTTGTCTGCATTTTATTTTATTTTATTTTATTTTTTGGTGCTTGTACACTGATGTGTAGAATATTGAATTGATCACTTGTAAACTGCTGGACTTCTCTATGAATTTGCAACAGTCACATCAGAATTGACTGTAGAATTATTTATGCCAGAGGTGGCTGGTGTGTGCTGTCTAGAGCAATGCTGTTTTACTGAGGTCACCTTTATTTAAAGAAGTTGTATTTGGAGTTAGAGGATTGGTTTTCACTGGATAAGCATTATCCAGTGCTTATCCACTGGTTCACATTAAAGAAAACTCAACTGATTGTCAGAATCTATATTCCTTTAATAGCCTAATTGATAGCTTTAACCAATGAACAGGTCTTTCCAGTAAATTAAACACTTGATTTTTTGACTGATTGTTACATTTTGTTTCCTGAGCGAATGCAAGTATCTTGCAGAAGGTGTGCTTGATACTGAAAATTAACATTGAGAGCTGTGGTATAAATTTAACTTCATGGTGTATTGTGAGTCCCTTCTTCTATAATATCATTTATGTCCATAACCTAAATTTTCATATTAAATTTCAGTAAAAAGCTTACTTGGTGTTAAAAATGGAAAGCAGAGAAAGTAGCAGTGTAAGTGGAGTGTATGTTGAATATATATTGGCTGGTTATCTGGGCTGCCATAAAGTGATTAGTGACTTAGAAGGATGATAGATGCTCTAACTGCTAATAAGTTTGCTTTGATCTGTGTATTTACAGGAAATGTGTAAAATTGTCTTGGCAAGATTACAATTTAATTATATGTCATTATGCTGGGTAGGAAGAATAATTGAAATGTGGCCCTTGAGACTAGATACTGCAAATATAGTGCATCTTATTTTCACTTAGACAAGTTAAATTAGCTGCATGATAAATTTGTTATGAATACAATTATTTGAGTGATAAAAGCAGATATAACAAGTGTTTTATGGTTCTGTAAAGATACTTTTGAGTATTTTCTCTTTTTAAGTTGTCTTCCTAATGAGCACTTTGATGTAAATGAGGAGCTCTTAAAAGTAGCATTTGGTTTAGGAATAGATCACTCTAATTTTAGAGATTAGGTTTGTTTAAAAAATATAAGTAGAAGAAATACTGAATTTCCACAGAGAAATACTGTTATTTAAATTCCGATGCTAATCACTGAATTTAGCTGTGTTTCCCTACAAAATGTCTTGTTGTTTTAATATGAGTGGCTTTTGTGAAGTGTTGGTTATAAATGTAGAAGGAAATAAAACATTTTCACAGTGAACATGTTAAAATAACTTTTGGCTTGTTTCAGGGCGAAGGAAAAGCTTGAAAATCCAAATATTTTAAGAATGTCTTTCTTTGGATGTGTGATACCAGGTCTTCAGCTGTCCTTAGAAATGACAGGTGTTGTTTGCAGGACCTGTTTCTATAGACAAGCCTGAAGTTTTTGTCCTTTTAAAACTTTACTGTTAGGCTCTAATTTCCATGTTTGGCTTCCTACTTGTTTCCTGTTTGGAAAACTGACTTGCCACTTCTTAAATATTGCACTTGCCTTGATAAAACTTGTCAGATGTAGCAGGTATTCAGTGAAGGTCTCTTGATTGCTGGCTGTTGGTCGGCCCTTCTTCCTGTAGGCTTGCAGGAAGATTATTTGGTTGTCTTTGGCAGCAAAGACATTAATTCTGTGTTGCCAGAGATTCTCAAGATCAGCTGGATTTGCCTTTGGATGGAACCTAAAGGGCTGTTAAGTTTAATATTTTGTGAACTCTGGTGCTGCCAGCAGCTATTAATGATTAAATACAGCCCCAGATTTTTGGGCACACTGATCTCTGATGGAATTCTCCCTTTCCATATAATCTGAAAGTACTGAAGCCTTGCACATTTGCTAATGGAATAGAATGTTCTCTGCTTTCACAGATCTCTTACCTGCCTTAGTAGTCCAAGAAACCATTAGATTACCACAGATTGAAAATAAAGAAAATCCTTGTTCAAGTTGGCAAGTTTTCAATAGTTATACAGAATTAACTTGATTATATTTCAGCTTTATTTAAATAAGTTATAAATAATAAGAGGATGCACTTGATTTATGGTATGCCTGTTGTACTGAGATATAAAAGATCAAACCCCTGTAACTTTGTATTTAGAATCTTTAAAGGACAATACACACCAGGTCACTCGGGTGGGGGAGATTGGAATTAAAACTTTACTTGGGTTATATCTTAAAAAGATGACCTGTACCAAATTGTTGTGTGGCACAACTCTCATTATGTATTAGAAACCATTCTAAACCAGAAGTTTGGAAGGTCAGAGATCAGTTTAAGTGCACATAAAGGGTGTGTAGATGACTTTCCCTAGGCACTGTCTGTAGCTAACAGGAGGATTCTATGTGGACAACTGGGACCATGAACTTTGAGTCAAGGCTCTGGAAAAGCAGAACTCTCCTCTGGCAACAGAAGATGAGCTTGGCTAAGCTAAAACTTCCTTTGTGTGTATGTATATCTCCTGAAATCACTGTGTGTGAAAACTGGGAAATAGCTCTATAGATTTTTTTCAATGTTATAAATGTGCAGTCTTAACTGTGAAAGGGAAATTTTGCTGTGCATTGGGTTTCTTCTTTTTTTTTGAGGTGGAAGATAAAGAGGAATTTCTTGTATTCACAAGGGGCTATGAGATGATACAGGGAATTAGGCAGTGATTCAAATCCCCAAGCTGCTGTCATAATTGGATCATCCTCCTCCTCTTCTGGTCTGGAGTTTGGCTTGCAGTGCTCCAACTTTCTGTGAAGCTGAGCTGTGCTGTTTTTGCTTTATGCCAGATTTATTCCAGATGCCTTTGGAAATCAACCAAAGCCCTCATCCTAACAGTATCAGCATTTTCTCTTAAGATCTAATCCTAGTTTTCTGTATTTGGGAGATGGAGTGATCAAGATCTTGTAGTATGGCTCATTTTAAAGGTTTTATTCTCAGGTCTGTGCTCTCAGACAAGAGAAGCAAAACCTTTTTAGCTCTTCCCTTTTCCTAACACACTGATTAAAGGACAGTATGTGAAGAAAAAGCAGGAAGGAGTGCTGCTGTATTGTTCAATTCCTGTATGAAAGACTTAAACCTGGGGAATAATGGCAGAATATTCACTTCAAATGCACGTATTTCACTTTTCTTAACTGGTTCTTTACAGAAGTTACATCTTATGAGAATGCATTTCATTACTGAAATTACCAACTACACCTTGTATTTTGAAAGTAATGGCATTTAATCTTGTTTGGAAAACAATTACTTGTGGTTCCTGCCTCATCTGGACTAAGTAAAATGAGATAATGAAGGAGCTGTTACTTGCACTTAGTTTGCATTATCACACTGCAGGTTATGTATAAACTTAACTGTCAGTACAATAAGGGATAGCTTATTGAAAAATTCTACAGATTGTTCTTCTGAAACTTTTCTGTGACCATATGATCCTAATGATCTGTATAGATTTGTATATTGTGTATATTTTACTGAGATGGGTGAAGTGTTGAACAGTTAATTTAACTCTGAAATAGCATTAACTTTTTTTGTTCCCACTGGTTTTCAAATAACTGTGTCTGTCCTTATTTACATTGGCATGTCTGTCAGGTGGCATGTGGTATTGTGCTCTCTCTTTTTGTTTTGGTTGGATAAATGCACAATATTAGAGTCTCTAAGTAAGCCCTATTTGTTTTATGCTACTTAAAAGTAAATGGTAAAGCACTGGTTTTTGGTTCTGGCCTAATGCCAGAAGCTTCACTTTTTTTTTTTTTTTTTTTGTTTGCTTTGAAATTGTTGTAATTCTAGCAATAGGTACTGTGAATTAATTATTGTTGGCATTCAGTTATGAAGGAGTTGTCTTGCTGTGATTTTCTGTTAGGTAAGCGTGGTCCAAGACTCAGTAAATATATCAGGACAGTCTAATACAAACACTTTGAAGGTACCTGAATGTCGACTAGCAGAAGATTTAGGGAATCTCTGGGAAACAACAAGATTTACAGATTGCAGTTTTTATGTAGGAGGACAAGAATTCAAAGCTCATAAATCTGTCCTTGCAGGTACTTTCTACTTTTGTATTGTTATTATTTTGTAATTTAAATCACTATAAGTTTAAAATTTGATTATATTCAATATTTACTTTTCTTGATACAGCACGATCTCCAGTTTTTAATGCAATGTTTGAACATGAAATGGAGGAAAGCAAAAAGGTAAGTTTCACTGAAAATGTTGCATGTCAATATTTGTACCTTGTGAAAGAGGAAAACATTGTGGAAAACTTGAGGCAGAGCAGATTGAGGAGGATGAGGGTTCTTATGGTGCATGAAGGACAGTTCCTGAACCTCCCCTGGTGAGTGCTGAGGGAACTTGTATAGAAAGAGTGGAGAGGTGCTGCATGATTTGGATTTTTTCAGGTACTTGTATCTGCCCTAGGTAATAATCTTTTTAAACATTAGCTACTGGTGTAATTGACCTGGTAATCTCTGCCCCTTTGTGCCTCAGTTTGTCTCTTCCTATCAGCTGATTGACTTGCCTAAGGTTTTGCTGTAGAGTATTGAAGTGTTTTTTATGGTAACCAAGGAACAAGAGGTAGATTATGACTGGAATTAAGCCCTCAGGCAGTGGAACACCTTTTCATTCACAGCTTCTGCAGGCACTTGACCTGTGTAAGTGTTTTGGATGGATGGTTTCTTAATCAGCAAAGTGCTGGCTTCTGCTTTTATGCACTTGATGTCTCCCACAGCAAGGAGCTGTTTGTGTCTTTCTTGAAGAATTATCAAAAGTGGGTTGGTTATAGGCAGAATCCATTAAAAGGTGAGGAACTGATCACCTCACAGAAGTGTTATGATAGATGATCATAATTTGGTTTTGAAAACTGCAAGATGCCACTTGTGTGCACAAACACATTGGGTGAACGTGGTGCTGTGGTACAGCTGAGGGTCACTTTACTTCCCAATACCTCTCCAGTTGGGAAACTGTCACAGGTGAAGTGGAGTATTGGGAGCATTTCATTTAGGTTCCTGGACTGAAAGAGGCCCAAACATGTCATAACTTGAGTAATGTGCCATGCCAGGCCTTTGCCTTCATCAGCAGTGGATCTCCTGTGCAGCCCTCCTCCTGGACACTGACAGGAAACCAGACCATGCACATCTCCTGTGCCTGGGATTTTTACACTCCTTTCAAAAGTCTGGTGTTTGCTTCTACATCTTTGGCATAATTTCCCACTTCATTAGTTGTTTATAGGGGATGCTGTTATAGGGTTGGTCAAGCTTGCAATGCCACTGTTGTATTATGGCAATTTTCAGCTGTGTGATGTCAGTTCAATGTGTTTGATTTTTGGATTCTCAAAACTTAAACCTAAGTTTAAGTTGAGCCAAGAATGGCTCAATTTGCTCTGTCTGCTGCTCTGACCTCTGATATTCCAAACACATTGTCTTTGTGTTGGAATCTCAGAAGCATTTTTTAATATTCCTGAAACTGTCTTGATTTTTATGTACAGTCTGTGTGATAGAGTCCAGAGTTATGCATTTCTAGGAAAAAAATTACAATTACTTTGTATTGCTGGAACTTTCCCAGCTGATTTCTACCTAAGTTTTAGGAGCTTTTTTGATTGCTTTCTCCTTAACATTGTTGAATGTTACCTTAAATTTGTAAGGATTTTGTATGGTGGATGGTGAATGAAAACTTGTAGCATGCATGCTGATGATATTTAATATTCACTTTGAAATTGTAGCTAAATTGCAAAGACTTTTATTGATTCTTCTTCTTTACCAGAATCGTGTAGAAATAAATGATGTAGACCCTGAAGTTTTTAAAGAAATGATGAGATTCATTTACACAGGAAAAGCACCAAACCTTGAAAAAATGGCTGACAATTTGTTGGCAGCTGCAGACAAAGTAAGTAATTGACTCCAAACTTCTCAAATCTGGTGTTTGCTTGGGGAATGCTGATTAAAAAAAAAAAATCTTACTTTCAGATTGTTTGATATATATTTTGCGTTTTTAAAACATGAAGAAGCAGTTCTCATCAGAAATGAAGAAGGATAGCAGAAACTTTTTTAGCAGTAGAAGGCTGATAAATCTTTTTTTAAAGAGAAGTGTTTCAGGTATTTATTTAGTATAAATTTTTTTAGAAATTGGATTATCTTCCTTACAAATTGAGTAGTTATAATCTTTCATCTCTTTGTTGGAACCTTGTCTACTCTTAAAATTGTTGCTCTTTCTAATACTTTTTTCTATTGTGATTTTTGAGATGAAGGGATTTACAGCAGCTCAGCAAGTAAGAATTTTTTTGCATGCTGGCCTTGATTTAGGACATAATTGATAAATGTAGAGACTGTTATAAGGTTGATTTTATAAGGCTGGGTATTATAAGGTTGATATATATGATTGTCTGCAATACCAGAAAATAAAAATAAAACCTGTTCAGATGTGACATCCTTCAAAAAAGCACAGTTTATTAATGCAAAATATAATATAGGAATGCAGTTTTTTTCCCATCAAATTTCCTGTAGGCTGTATCAAAGGTATGAGGGAAATTAGGAAATTCTGAGATGGATTGGGGATAAAGTTAAATTTGTTTTAAACAATGTAGCTGAAAAAACTCCATTGTATCATTTCTTCCCCCGCAGTTAGAGATGTGAACCTGTTCAGTGCTGATTTGGCTCCTTGCTCCTCCTCCCTTACCAAGAAGAATTGAAATGAAAACTTTTGAATGGGTTATTTTTGTTGTTTGAAAAAAACTGTCAGCAAGGTCTCTAATTAGTTTTTGCCAAGCCTGATGCCTGGGTTACATTTGAGAACTGTTCAGTGCAGCCCATTGTGCTGTGCAGTACCTGTGGGGCAGCAGTTTGATGTTAAACTGGGGAGGCACCAAGCCTGGCTGGAAGTGTGTTAAGAACCGTAGAGATGAGGAGGGAAGGAATAATGAGTTGAGGAATGATTAGTGCAGTTTTTCTCTCTCTGCAGTATGCACTGGAACGGCTGAAGGTGATGTGTGAGGAAGCACTCTGTAGTAACCTCTCGGTAGAAAATGTTGCTGACATTCTTATCCTCGCAGATTTGCACAGCGCTGAACAGCTAAAAGCACAAGCAATAGACTTTATTAACAGGCAAGTAATACTTGTGAGACTCTAAATATATTTGTGTTTATGTTTGGTGTACTTTTTCAATAATAGCACACTTCTCTCTTGCAGGTGCAGTGTTCTTAGACAACTTGGGTGTAAAGATGGGAAAAACTGGAATAGCAAGTAAGTTTCCCTGCCCCACGATGTTCTGTACAAACACTGCTAAGTAGACTGCAGATCTTAAGAACTGTTGCTTCATTTCCACACTACTGAGGCCTGTCACTGACTGTAAGTAAAGCAGGATTCAGCAGATGCTACCCCAGTTATGATTGTGACTCCCCCCTTAAATGACAGGGAATGTTAGCTGCTCTCCAGTGTGAGATCCTAACAATAGCTGGTTTCATTCCCTCTCCCAGGGGCATAGTGCTGCGAGGTGATGGAAGCAGCCTTTATAGAGAAAACCATTCTCACGGGTATCCAGGTTTGTGCCTGGAGGAGTGATAGTCCCAGTGTGGTTTTGAGACTTGCTTGGGTCAGTCTGAGCCTGCAGTATTTCCACAGAAAGGAGGGCAGTTGCTGTCTTTGCCTTTGGGGACTTGTTTGTGCACCTTCCCACATGCCAGCACAAGAGCTCTGGTGGCCACACAACTCGTCAGTCAGGTCCCTCTGACTCTGAGGCTCCTGCCTACACTGGAAATAGGTTGAGGCTGTGTGGCTCAGGCCCTGGCACTGATTGCAGCAGCTCAAGTGAATCACAGAGTGGAAGACAGCCAGCTGCAGAATAGCTGGTGGTAGGCTCCAACAGTGTAAGGGCAGTGGAGCACTTATTTATTACCATCAGAATCTCCAGAGAACTTAAAGGCTGTGTTGTACCACTTAGTTCAAATTATTGCTTCTCCTTGAAACAAAAAAGGTTTCACAGGCATAGTGATTGAGCATGATGTGGAAAACAAGTGGGTGTTTAAAGGTAAATAGTAAAATACCAGTAATAGAGATAAGTCAGAATCATAACTATGTAACTACTTGATACATTTCTTCTCAATGATTTGGAAGTACCTGAGCTGATTTCTGTCTTGCTAGTTAACATGCTGGTTATCTTTGCTCCAGCTGAAACATCTACAGTAATTCAGGGAAATAATATGAGAGGGACTGGCTTAATTTGCTGGCTCTGGGCACCAGGGAGTCTGAACTTCAGTATTGTTTCTCAAGGCTCTTCCCTTCACTGACTTGCAGTAGCAGATTAAAGATTTGCATTAGAAATTACCCAAAGATTAGAGATCATGTGGTGTAGAGGTCAGCTGATAACTTCATGCTTGATAATGTTCCTGAAACAGCATGAGGGTGTTCACTATAAGCTTTTGAAAATGCAGAGCAATGGGAACTTGGGATTGATGCATATTAGTTCTAAATTACAAATTTATCCTGTGTCAGTGTTACATGCAACCCAGCCAATATAATATTCTTCATGTGCAAAGTGAATTTTTTGCTTTTTTTCTATTATTTCACCAAAAAGTAAATACACACACTGAGTAAATACATAGTTTTTTATCTCCTGGGTTGTCAGTGTGATACTTGCTGAACTCTGTTGTTGCTTTTGTGTTAGTTAAAAATCAACAGTGGCCATTGAAAGCTATTTTGAATGTGGCCCATCATCTGCACTAAAAAAAGTGAATATTCTCAATATGCTCCACTGGTACTTAGACTGCAGGCTCCCAGTGAAGGGGTCTGGAGCCTGCCAGCTAATCTGCCTTCATGGCTCTTTCTAGGAGATGAGCTACATCATTTTTGAGGCAGTTTCAGCTGATTCATCTTGTCATCCTTCTCTCTCCCCAAATTGAGCATGTCCTTTTATGTAATGAGATTATCATGTCTTCCCTTGCTTTTTGTCTCTGCACTATACCTCATTTTCTTCTAGTTTCCCTCTTTATTGTTTCTCATGAGCAATTTCAAGGTGGTTATTCTGACACCTCTAGCTGAGGTCTGGCTGGTACTGAGTAGAGCAGAACAAGTACCTTTTGTCCCACATCTGATTATAGTTCTATACCCAAATTGCAAATTGTTGCTTCTCTCTGTTGGCACCCTCCCTGGCATCCAGTCTGTCCCACAATATTTGACTGCACTTCTGCCTTGCCTGCTCTTCTCCACTGTGCATTTGGTTTGTAAAATGGTGTGACTGTTGTTAATGCTTCTGTTTTCAGCCAAGCAACAGACATAATGGAAACTGCAGGCTGGAAGTCCATGATCCACTCCCACCCTCACTTAGTAGCCGAGGCCTTTCGCGCTCTGGCGTCTGCACAGTGTCCACAGTTTGGCATTCCACGCAAACGGCTAAAACAGTCCTGAAATCTTCCATGGACTCTAGAGAGATTGGACTGACTCCACTCCTCCTTGTCCAGAGGTGTTTTCACAAACCATAACAAGAGTTTTTGTTATCCTTGTCCACAGAACAGAAGCTGAAAAAGCCTATTGTTTGCTTTTCAGATGGATAATTTATGGTTTAATCCTCAGCTTTAAATTAGACTGATTACTCTAATTCACTGAAAGGCCTTAAATTATCTTCAATGACTCTCTAGTCCATATAGTCTAATGTATCTTGATTTTTTTATTATTATTTTTTAATGTGCCTTGTCTTTTTGACTAGGCTCTGCAGGATTGCACTAGCTCCATAATGCAGTAAAGTTGATAACTGAAGATTAATTTTTGAAAGGGATCTTCCATTATTTTCAGAAGAAAAAAGAAAAGGATTATAGTTTGGTCCTGTGCTAACTGGAAGGTTTTGGCTCTCATTAAAAACACTTGAACCAGAGGCACATCGTGTACCCTAGGCAAGTGCTAAATATAGGGAGAGCCTGTTTACCTTCAGCAAATGCTCACAGGCTATTTATGGCAATATACTGCTTTGAACATAATTTATTTTTCATTGTGGGGGCAAATATGCAATGGTTTGGCCCAAAAATGTATTTTCATTACAGTTTGTAATGCTTATTGTGTGTGTGTGTCAAAGCTGTCCAAGCGGTGAAGAGAAACACAGAATAAACCTTTGGCTTGTGTTTCTTTATGGTCCATTATTAGTTTACATTTAATGCAGAACTGAACGAGAGGTAAAAGAGATCAATGTGAAAAGGAATAGTGTTGTATATGGAATAAATATATCCCAGTGTATGGCTGCATAGAAAAGTCAAGGATGCATAGAATGACCAAATGCAAATTGAGGAAATGGGCCAAATGGATTTTGAATATGCACTTTTAATGTGTAACTTTTGTATGTTGTGTGGTACATATATATTTTGCTTTTGATGAATTAATGAGGTACAGGTAATTGTGGCTTAACTTTTTAGATACATTTTAAGATGCCCACAGCCACATGGGATTTAGTTTTGTTAGAAAAGAAAGGCATGTCTTTTTAAGACTCAATTGAAGGTGGCTATTGCGAGATTTCATATTTAAGTAACAGAATATTTTCGCTTATTTGAAAAAGGCATGTGAATGGTAAAAACTTTGAGGGGATTTTTCCCATCTTGGCGTACGTGCATGGCTCCCACAAACAACCTGGGGAGGCTGTGCACACATCCAGGAGTAGTTCCCTGAAATGTCAGATGGTATCTGCAAGCAGAGACTTGCTCAGTCTTGCATTTCAGTTATTGTACTAGCATTGTGGATGGTATTGAAATTCTGCATAATGTGGATGGTATTGAAATTCTGCATAATGTGAAAAGGATGAAACATTTGTAAACTGCTTGTCATGGGCCAGTTCTTTACTATATGAACCTTAGCTTTAATATCAACATCCTCAGTGTTTGATAGCTTTGTTTACAATTGGGAGGAAAAGTCTGCAGTAGTGCACACTCTAAATGTTCCCTGAGTTATTGCATTGAGTTTACTGTAATAGTGATAATATGCTGTATTTCTTTTTTTGGGGGGGAAGATTTTGGTTTTACAGTGGGGAATGGGAGGAGATCTCACCTAATTTATAAACATCTTTGAGTAAGGGTTTGAGTTTGCCTATTAAAAAAAGTCATGCAGGGAAGAGAGAGGAAGAATTTCAGATTGTTTCTCCATCCTCATTTCATTGAGATTCATCTGACTTGCTCTGAATAAAATTTTTACAGGAAAGAATATATAATTTTATATGTTGACATCTAGTAAACCACTTACAAAGGTAAATTGGAAGAAAATGCCCAGTCCAATTTTGAAGACTAAAACCTCTAAACATGAACTTTTTCTTACCCTCTAGCTAAATCTTCATGATGGCTAAAGTGTAAAATCAGAAATTTTAATAATACACAAGGCATCAAATTATATATTTACAGAGGTTTATCCATTTTTAAATATTTATCTAAGATAAGGTCTCATAAGCATTCTCCACAACAGGAGGGGAAGGTGTTTATTCCAAAACCATGTTTTTGCTGCACTGTGTGATGTGCTGGGACTACAGCTCCTCATCCTCATCACTGTAAAACTCACAGCGCTCACGTGCAAAGTGACTTGAATATTTAATGCTGTAATGATTGCCCAGGTCAGCCTGTTCTAAAGTAACAACAGACAGTAATCAGATGGAAAGTGTAAGGATTTCTAGAATTATTATTTTTTAAAGCCTAATAGCACACTTTGTACCAAAAAAAGTCAGACACTGTGCTGTGATATCATCTGCACCACAGAGTGTCCCCATCTCAAGCCAGGAAAGAGCCCTCTGCTGATCCCATCTGGTTAAATTGGACTTTATTTATTTATGTTTTCAAGTTCTGACAGATCTTGAGAAAAAGGCAAAGCAGTTGCTGTATTCTTAAGTGAGTGCACTAATTATTCACCTCTTTAATTACCCACATGCAGTGTTGTCACTGGAACGGGACACTGATCATTCCAACCTTCCCCTTTGGATTCAGTAGCTCGGTTTCATTCCCCACATCTCAAGAACTTGCCCTTAAAGCCTCAGTTGGAAGTGCAGCAGATCAGGAATAATCAGTGGTCAGGTTTTCCCAGGCTGAAGTCCTGGGGGTTTTCCCTCCAGGTTAGGAATATGCCGTATGAAGGTGCCACGTTTTGGCTTGCCAACACTACTCTCTCAGATAGATGTGAACCACCACTTCTGTGCTTTTCTGGGGAGAACCCTGCATGTGTCCTGTGTGTGTGTGCGTGCGTGTGTGTGTGACTGTGTGGTGTTTTTTGTCAAGGGTGACTTTCTAAAAATAAGGACTCAATTTGCTGTTAAAATGCTATTATGTATTATATATATATTTTTTTTTCTCCATTCAAACCTCTCCTAGGGAGATGCTTTGGGTGGAAGTTGCTTCAATAAATAATCCTTATTTCCTAGTCCATTTACTGCATGCAGAAGTATGAACACATTGTGCCTTTTTAGGAAACTGTTGCAATGAAGGGATGATTTAACAGGGTGCAAGATCTTTGTAAAACGTATTTTTAAAGGTGAAGAAGAATACTCTTTGGTACACAATTGAGATGGAAAAGTTCAAGTTGCATTTGACCTCTGTTGCATGTTGATTCTTGCTTCCTAAATTCAGTTTCACCCAGGTACAAACTACATGAACAAGTGGAATATGTATTACAGATACAAGTTGAGTAATGGTATATTTTTGTGAAACTGTGATAATATTTGCTGTTACAAGATAAGTGTATGTCAAAACATGATAATCATGGACACAAGGTTACTCTAGTTCTGATGTTTTTCTACACATTGAGTATTTAGTATAAAATTCACCTTTGCACAGGAGATCAGTAGAGGACCTACACGGAGATTGTGTTCCTTTTAAATCCTCACAGCAGGGCTTCTCCTTTGGGAGGATAAAAGCCATGTGCAGTGTTTGAAACTGTGTTTCACAGAAGGCAGTGAATTGCAAATGTGAGGTACTGCTACCTGAAATGTTGTCGAATTTTGTTGAATTTTACAGTTGATTAAAATTCCTAAAATTCCTAAGCTTAATTGCTTTTTTTTTTTTTTTTTTTTTTTTTTAATTGACAAATGGAATGTTACCTGTCCTCTGTCTGTTGTCAATAGTGTATTTAGTGCAGAGCTTAGCTCCTTAGCTAGCCAAGACACTTAGTCTCATATCTTGGCTTCTGCTTACAGTAAATGGACTATGTTTGTAAAGGGAATTCACTATTTCAAGTGTTTTGCAAGGAACTTCACTGTATTTGTAACCTGGTTTTTGAAGGCTTAAGATCAATGAGTCCTATTTTAGAAGTTAAACCAGTGAAATGACTTGGACCTGTTTTGGGGTGGAAATGATATAAAGAATTCAGATATGTAAACAGTCGTATCAAACCATCCAGCCTTTTTTTATCAGCTGATGTTAATGGTGAAATACTTTTTGTACCTTGTTGCTGAAAATATTTTTGCGTTTCAGCACATCAAGTTACAATAAAGTTGTTACTTATACAGAGTGTGTCTGTCTTTATTTGTTGTGATTATAAATACACTGTTGATATGTGGTTTTGGACATGAAAATTATGATGTCAAGGTAAGTTATTTTATAAGAAGTGTGTGTCTGGGTAGGTACATGCAAAATTCTCCAGGTGTGCTTAAAACAAAAAATTCATCCCTTAAATGGCTCCACAATGATCCAGTCTAAGGTTCCTCATGGGGTTTATATCAATAATATCATAACTCACATCCCCACAGACAGCTCAGTAACCTCTGAGGGGAACAGGACTGGTTAACAATGAGTGGTATCAGAATTATTTATACAATCCAAATGTCTGACATGAGCTTCAAATTCCAGATAAACAAAGAATATTAAACTTCATTATTTTTTTTATTTAGAATGCTATATTTTTATCCTTTCTGAAGATGGTTTTCTTCCCAATTGTTTATCTTGTCATCATAAAAAAATTCTTTGTTATTCAGCAAAATTGATTAAATGAGCATTGATTTTAAAACAAACACCTATTTTTTTTTTATAGCAAATTCCAATTTTTTAAATGTGAAAACAGAACACATGAAGAAAGCTTTTTCTCCTTTTAGTTGAATATTGTTGAAATTATTTTGCAGTGTTGGTCCAGTACTGTGTATATCCTCTTTCTTTAAAAGGGAGAAGCTCAAATATTGAATTTCTAGTGGTTTTTACCCTCTCAGCCTCTGTCACCATCTCTTGCTGTACAGGATTGCCTGTCCTGCCCTGTGCTGAAGGGATGGTTGATACTGAAGTATTTGAGTGCAGCCTGAGCAGTCAGGTGAGAAATTAAAGTTGATTAAGGTGAGTCTTTGTGCCACTACTCCAAACTTCATAGTATTAATGGTATCTATTAAATAGTATCTATGTTTTAGATGGCTTCAGTTACAATTACTATTCAAGGTAGAATATTACCCATTCCACTACACACTTTACTTGCCATGTTTATTAAGTAAATTACATTAAAGATGCAGCTGCTTCCATTACACACAAATAACTTTGCACTTAACATTGTGATAGTGTGCTAACAGAGGAAATGCTGTTAATTGCCACTTAAAATTAGTCTTGAACAGTTTATTTTTCTGCAAACATCTTGACAGTTTTCCCCTGGAAGAACATGTTTCTTCTTGTCAATTCTGAAGATTCCTTCTTTGTACTCTCAGAGGAAGTTGGAAAAAATATAAGGAGTCGAGTGGAGCATTTCAGATGTAAGATGCAAAGGATTTGCTTTTTCCATTACAACACTGCACCAAGGAAAAAACCCATCCCAGGCTCAGCTGAGAGAATTCTTGAGTGCTTTGGAATGGCATTCCAGGGGGTGTCAATAAGTTATATTTTAAACAGTATGTGAAGATGGTGCTCTAAGTGTAAAATTGGGCTTCTTGGGAGTCAAGTATAAAGAACAGAAACAAGCTTGTGATTTTGAGACTCAGGAAAACAACTTTGGAGGGTTTGCATGGCCTTGGCTTACAGAGAAAGTACCAGGAGTGCCAGTTTTGAGCTCTTGGTTCAAGTGTTCTGAAGGAGCCTCAGAGCTGCAGCAATACCTGGTGATCACCATCCTGTCAGGCAGGGAGCAGGGCCTTCTTTGAAAATGTTACCTGACACCAACATTTTTGTCTTGCATTTTTAGCAGGGTTTGGAGCATAACAATATTTTCGTGCAGGTGCTGTGTTTCAATCAAGGGTAGGTGTATAATGAGTGGAAATCTCTGCTTTGCCCAACTTATGCATGTTTCATGCGTTGGCAGTGATAGTCATGCAGAAAATAAATTACACCATGTCAGACTTGGTGCTGCTGATCAGAATGGAGACAACTGGTGCTGCATTTTAAGCAGTCACAGTTTTTGACTTCCCACGTTTCTCCCTGCACAGTTGACTGAGCCATTTCTGTTTAAAAAGCTAAATTTTGAAGAGTATGCAAAAAACATTTTAATAGGATGAAATCTTAAAGCATAGAAGCTCTAGCTCCAGTCTGACCTATTTTAACCTTATGTGCCACATAAACTATTTATATTTTCCATTTTTAAGCTGGCTACTTTTTGGTAAGCTTTGAACTTAATTTTATGTATTATATGCACCATTTTCTAACCCAGCTGTATTTATTGAGTCTTGAAACTTTAAAACAAACCACCTACTTGCTACTGAAGTGTACAACTAAAATGCTTGCCTCCAGCAAAGACTTAATCTTGCCTCTGGTACTTGTGCTATGCCCAGATTAAGAGCTCTGGTGGTCTTTGTGAAGTCCACACCATATGTTTTTAAATGGAGAAAAAAATGTCAATTAAATGGTGCATCTTGTCACTGTCACCTCCTGCAGATGGGCTGCCCTTGTCAGACACACACATGAGGGAGTTCTTGCACTACCAAGCCCTCATTCCTCCCTCTCAGCAGGACTGGGAGTTACTGTGCTGGATCAGGAGTTTGTACCAACTCAACTCAAATAGAGGGCCATAAAATATTTGCATATTTATTGGCTGTTCTGGTCAAGATGAATTTGAGGCGTGGGTATGGGGCAGGGTGGATTTCTTTGAATGCAGCTTTTTCTTCAAATGCCTTGCTGTTCATCTCTTGTGTGTTTTTTGAATGAGTGCTGGCACCTCTCAAATAATGTACACAAATACAAAATACCTGGTGAACCTGCAAATGCTTTGTAGTGAAATTTGAGGAAGTTCAATTTTGCTGATTTAAAGAAATGGAGATGCAAATTTCCTCATGACAGTGCCTTCTAGCAGAAAATGTGTAGTGTCAGATGTGGTTAATCTCAGAACAAACTATAAAAGGGGTTAA